TCCATCCATTAGAGCCTTCCAGAGCCACAGAAACATTTCTCATCTTCAGAACTCGACCTAACTTAAAAGTGCAATTCCTACTGGGACTGCTGTCTGCAGCACAACAGGTGCTCATATACACCTCCATGTTATTTATCAGGAGAAGCCACTTCAGCCCGCTGCCAAACCCACGCCTCACTGCAGCTGATCGGAGTTCAAAAGCAGCACAGCCACGGCATCAGAAGCGTCAGTTCAGGCACTGCTCACAGCCCCAGGTGTATACTTGAAGTTCACTTCAACTCTGAAAGAAATAGCTGTGCTCTTGACATCATTTCTCCCCCATCTGTGGGAGTGTTCCACATCAGCTCTACTCAGAAGCGGGGGAAGGTTCGCAGAGGGTAACTGTTGCCCTCAGTGCTGCAGGTGAAACATCCACCCAAGGAAGCAGAACAGGTGTTTCATTTCCGATCTCAGCACAGCAGCTCCTCATGGCAGCAGCACTGTGAAATGCAGGCAGGAGATGTTTGTGGCATGGCACGTGTGCCCCAGCTCAGCAGAGCTCTGGCTGAAACACGTGCCACGTGCTACAGGAGTGTTTGTGAAGGGTTGCTGAATTACCCAGGTGAGCTCTGGTTTTCCATTTTTATTCAGCAGAAGTCACGCATTTCAAGAAAATATAAAATTTAATTATCTACCTTAGAAAGTTTAACTAAAGGACACAATCCAAAAGAGATGAAATCTAGCTAAATGCAGCTCCCTGCAGTCGGTGAGCTTTATATATAGTATCCATTCCTGGCAGCAGTCATAAAACAGGAAACTGAGAAGTTTTAGCTCTCAGAATTGCGCGTTTGTAATTTGATGAGACATTTCCTTTGAGAGGATAATGTGAAACAGAAGTCACAAAAGAAGAACAACCTCCCTTGTGCCCCCCCACAGCTTACATCACTGCTTGTACGAATTCCTCACACATTACTCCTTTGGATTCCTACTCTGAGAAAGCATTTTCCCTTTTCCAAAAAAGGCCTTCGACAGCTTCATAAAGGGTTAAAGATCAAGTAGGAAGAAGAAAAATCTCATTTAAGAATGCACCAGCACAAGTGAAACCGAAAGAGACTGTGCGCGCAGGACGGCAGAGCAGTACACAGTAACCTGCCAGCGTGGACGTAAAGCTAGAACTGTGGTTTAGTAAACACAGCCACTGCCTCCACTCAGCCTGGATAAAGCCAGTCGTACAAAATATGCTGGGAGTAAAAGGAAATTTAATTTTCAATGATTTAGGAATGCTGCAAGCTGAAACGCTACGAAAGACATTCAGGTGCTTCAGGAATACTGTATTCTGCAATTACTTCCAAAGTACAAAAAAAAGCCACAGCAAAAATAGTTTCCAAGTCACCCCCTCCTCGCTTCCAAAAACAGCCCGCGGTTCGTTTCGTAGAAGCACAAAGGAAACCCAGAAGGCAGAGGATGAGAGAAGGGTAGCGAAGGCGCTGGGCTCCCACCGAGGGCACCCAGCGCTCCCACAGCACCCGGCGCTCGGCACGCAGCCCGCTCCCAGCACCCAGCGCGCAGGCAGGCTGCGCACGCAGCCCCAGGCAGGGCCCAGCCTCCCGCAGCGCCGCCGTCCAGCCAGCTGTTACCAGGCGAGCGCGCAGCCAATCCCCGGCCCCGGCGAGCACAAGATGGCCTTTGAACTCCCCACCAGCAACTTCCTGCTGTTTTTAGAGTACACACAGTGCAATGCAGTATGTCTGTCAGCTATGCGGCACAAAGGAACAGCCATTTTGTGACTCGACCGGACCCGCACCAAAATGCCAGGCGGAGCGGCCTTCCCCTCGCCCTTCGCGGGGTATCGTGGCCTTCCTCGTGCCGCAAAAGAGGAAGAGCTGCCCCACGCTCCCCTTGACAGAGGTGCAGCCATTTCTGCTCACAGCCTCGTCCCCCCACCCCCCCGCACGAAGTGCTCTGTCTGGAACTACATCTTCATAAAATGGCTGCCGAGGAGCAGCGAGCCGTTCTGGGCCGAGCCGGCAGCGCAGCCTGCAGCACGCTGCCCACAGAGCCACTGCCGAGTCAGAGCCGCTGCTCCGAACAACACAGCCTCAGGCCCACCCTGCTTTAACTTTTTTTTTTTTTTTTTTTTTCTCTGTTTTTCCTCCAAAATGGTGAGAAGACCTAAATGCAATGGGCTGTTCAGCCCTGCAGCCTTCGTAACAAATTCCCTGCACGCATGGATGTAAGAGCCACTGCAACAAAGGCAGGGAGCGAGCCAAGGGAAACCAAGATGGTGGCTGTGTGCTGTGAACTATCCCTGCACCACTCCAGGGGTCACAGGACCCCCACCTGCACTGCACTGCTGCAGCTCACATCACGGTTGCACTGAACGTGTCCAGCACAAGCTCCCACCTTTCAAGAAGGGTAAAACGAAGGATGCTGGGAAGCATCAGGACTGTGTTTGGCTACATGCAATTCATGCCCCCAACACACAGGTGGTGGTTATTAGAACCTCACCCATGTGGAGGAGGTGGCCCAGAATTGATCACTTGACAGCAAGGCAGGCCCAGCACTGTGGGGAGAAGGGACATGAGGGCAGGTGTGGTTGGTCCCCCAGGGACACCACCACAGCACTCCTTCAGCTCACAGACTGGGGGGTCAGCATCGTTTTGTCCCCAGCAATGATCACCCGCTCCAGGACAACCCTCAGATGGATTCTGGTTTGTTCACACAGCTTTTCACTTCCTTTGGACTGGCAATGCAGGTGTCAATTCCAGATACTCCCCAGGCTGCGCACTGAAGGAGCATTGAAGTATTACATTTTCTTCTCCTTTAACATCTTTTTTTCCTAATCCTGTATTTTGGCATCTCCAGCTCAAGTGGTAGTGGTTGTATCCACCTTATCCACCCACTGCCACCATCCACACCTCCAATCCAGGACTACAGACCAGGACTTCACCAATGTACACATGGTCACAACTCAGGAAAGAAAAAAAAAAGAAAAAAAAAAAAAAAAAAAAAAAAAAAAAAGGCCAGCAGCATTTGAGGTGCAGACATGAGCGCAGCTCTGGGCTGCAGTAAAGCAAAGTGGTGGCTTTACTTCCTAGAAATCATTTCCCCTGCAACTTCAAGTCAACCTCAGGAAGTAAAGCCCATTTTACGACATTCAGCTGACTCACAGCTCAGAAGCCAGCTCGACAGGGCTCACTCACAAACAGCCCGTGTTCAATTGTTCCCACACCTCAGGTGAGGGGATGTTACCCACAGCAAGTTTATTTAGGGAAGAACAGTGGAAGAGGCAGGGTAACCTCACAACAGGTGTTGCGTATAAATCAATCGAGATAAACAACCTTTCAAAGAAATCAGCAAAATCACACATGTGAGACTATGCAAATATAATCACCCCGAGGACAAAAACACAAAGGTCTTCTTTCTGTGCAGCTACTGCTAGATGTCTCTGTTTTCACCTCCTATTCAGCACAGTATTTCTAGCAGATACGCTGCCTTAATTTTGATTTCCTGAGCAAATCACACCTACTATTGCTTTAGCTGTCAACCCGCACTTAAAACAACCAGAAAAACAAAGTGAATACTCTTTTTTCTTTTTTTAAATAAGACTTCTAAAGCAATATCAGCAGTATTTCTAACAACACGAATATTAAGGTTTGAAAATCTGACTTATTTTCAGATTGCATTACTATAACATCACTGTATAGGTGCTATATATAATGTTTCAACATCCCTAAAGCTAACATTATTAATAATCATTTTCAACTTACCCCCATCCATTCTAGGATTAAAAATTTGACCGCAGTCTTAATACATCTCAAATACCATAAATGTATTTTAGAATGTCACAGCACTTGGATAATATTCCCACAGTATGTCAAGTGTGCGTTTAAGGTTAAATAATGGACATCAAAAATACCAGTCAAACACCTGCAAACATCACATCAGAGCACATGTGATACCACAAACTGTTCAGAATTTTTTTTTTATTAGTGCGACTTAAAAATTACTTAACACCAAAGGAAAAATAATAAGCAGGCCAGAATTCCATCAAAATTAACAAAATGCAAAACTCGGCGTATTTACAAACCAGAAAACAAAATGCATGTAAATTAATTTTCAATTTTTTTTTTTTAAAGTCGACCCATTAAATATAAAAATGAGCAATTGGTAATTATACTCGTGCATTCTTAACGAACCAACATTGTCAGTATTCAATACTTTTCCTACATCAAGGTTCAGTTCATAAAAACCTGTAAAGAATCTATAATTACTTCACAAAATAAATAAAAATACTCCCAGCAATAATACATTAAATAAACAGACAATGCATTTGCAGCCTCTTGTTAGCAGCCCCAGTTTGTATTTTATAATACAAAATGCTACGACCACTGGAGAAAAGTTGAGTATAAATTGTATGAAAATATTCTAAAATATCAAAACAGCATCAAAGTTCCACAAGCTCAAATAAAAAATGAAGTAAGGGCTACCGGACAGAAAGGCACTTTTCAGTTTATATTTTAAAATGAGCTTTTTTTCATTCATGCAACTTTTTCTTGTGCCTATTTACTATAATTTACTACTACACCAGGCTTCTGTATGGCCCTCAGTTAAAGTTTAGACTTCTGAGATTCTTCAAAGAAAAATTTGCCTTGTATGTAAAATGGTGCAATGCAGCAATGGCTAAACCGACAAGGTCATTTTTCACAGCACAAAAAACCTAAAAACTGAAATTCAAAAGCTGGAAAAACATCATACAGAGAAAAGGGCTCCCCTGAATGAAGGTACAGTACCTTTTGACTATGACATGGGCCCTTAAGTCACAACACAACTTTCAGAAATTGCTACCAAAAAAATTAGGGTGTGGCATGCTAACAATCTCAAGGTCATTCCTTAAAAAGGAAACAAAAATCAGTAAAATGTTTTGTATTCAGCACTGACAGTAACCCAAGGCTGTCAAAGTAAACAGGGTATTCACAGGTTTTACCAAAAAAAAAAAAAAGAAAGTTGATAGATCATACCTCGATGCATTGCTGTGGACTGAACCCTCCTCTCCTTGGCTTTTGTCCTTATTTCTCATCATCTTTTTATTCTTAAATAATAAGAGGGGGTCAGGGATGTCTGCTTGCTTTGAAGTCCTGTGCCCAGGTATTTACTGTCAAAAGTTGAAAGAAAGGTAAGGTCCCAGCTCGTTTCACTGGCTTTCATTATCAGGAACAAAGTCCTGACGCTGCAATGATATTGTTGTAACAATACACAAAACTGATCGACACGGCAAAACGGAGATTTAAAACAAATAATCATTTTTTAGAGAAAAAAATACGGGGGAATAAACACCGAAGAGGAGCATCCTGCAAACTTTCCCAAAGTAACACTGGATGCAAATAATCCCTATCTTATTGCGTCATCCGAATACAGCCCGAATCGGTCGAAAATCAAAGTACTCAAAACGGCAGAAATCTAAAAATTATTATTATTAATTGCTCACCTACCTGATCCATGCACCGCCGCCAGGACCAAGTCGATCTTAGTTTCGGGTCGTGGAAAAACATTAGATCCAAAATATTTAGAGTTCGAATGATAAAATACGAAATTCAGAAAAAGAAAAAATATATATATTCTAATCCCAAAAATATGCTGTCGGTAAAGCAAAAGAAACGATAATTAGTACAAAAATGTCCGGGGGAAAAAGCTCATTAGGAGAGCGCACAAAAATGGAGGTACGCCATGGCTTCTAAGCTGGAAAAACAACGACCTGGGCTCTCTCCACGGCTTCTTCTTTCCAGCAAGGCACGAAAAGGGAGCCCTCAAAAGCTGCTTTTCTGCCCGAAAAAGGTCCGCTCGGCCCCCTATTAGTGCCTAGGAGAGGCAAGGGGCTGTGGGGGCCCCCTGAGGCTGCCCGAAAGTTAGGGAAAGTTGCGTAAAGTGTTGGGGAAGGCACGGAGCTGAGCGCGCTCTCTCTAAGGCACAGCCGCCATCTAGAGCTCCTTCCCAGCTCTGAGCTCTGCCTTTGATTGACACTCTCTACATTTACCCCACAACTCAGGTGATGTACCATAGACCCACCCCTTCATTTCTACCAAAAAAAGAGATAGCCTCCACCTAAAGGGTGCCTGCTACCCCCCACAGCCCTGGCTCCTTCCAACTACCCCAGCAGAAGGGGCACCTTAACCCCCTGTGGCTCAGCCACCCTTTTGAAACCAGAAAGAAACGTAATTTGTTCCTTTTGTTTTAAAGATTTGCTAAATATTTCAGTGCATGGGCTAAAATTACTTCCTCCCTGGACAGGAAGTGCTGCTGCTACAAGCCATTTTGAAAGAATGGCAGTGGAGCTCACAGCCATGCAGCCAACAACAGCCCACCTTGGGGGTCGCCCCACCCGAGGGGCATTTATTTTTAAATTAAGCCATAGTACCCCCAGACAAAAGCCTTTCCTTTTGTCATCCAATGCTTGCACGTAGTGCTTGGGACAGAAATGCCACGAGCTGCTGAAAAAGCCCCACAGTGCTTCCAACCCCTTCCAGCTCAACAGCGCCTCCCTAGTGGTCTGCCCCAGCAACACAAACCCAACTGCTACGGCAATCTCATCAGCGACGTGAAGGCACTGCTGTAGAATAAGTCCCACACCATCAAATGAATTATTTCTCATTTCCATTCTTAACTCATTAATATTTGCCAAGAGATTTTAAACAAAAGAATTCAAAGCCGCGAAACAGCCAAGATGAACATTCAGAAATCAAGCCACGTCTACAGTCCAACATCTGGGGTACTGAGAAGACATCACAGAGGAGATGGAGGAGAACCAAGCATCCCCAGCCTCTTGCATCCTGACCACCATTTGTTTCCCCACAAGCAACAGACAACTTAAATCACAAGGACTTCTTCCACATTTGTAGCCATCACAACCAGAGATGGAAATCAGCCATTGGGTAACTGATGGAGGGGAAGAAGGCACTGGGCAAGTTCCACTGTCTACAAGGACTGTCCGCAGCACAGCATCCCAACAGCTTGGAAACAACTGGCTTCCACCAGCTGAACCAATAAATTTCCTTTGAACTCTACACACCTGCTGCCTATTTCTGCCAACAAGCTATCATATCTCCATACCAAGAGGTACATTAAGGTCCGCTCTGCTGTCAGCATCCACTTCACTGAACGTCAGTTTACCAACAATTTACGGAAGACCCCTTAACACCTGAACTGGAACCAAGGAGTAGGACAACAAAATTGCAAATGCTTTCGGTTAACGGTAAAGAAAATCCACTCATCTGAATGTGGATCTCTAAGTTGGTCCCAGCATCCAACACCACCTCCTATAAAGCATGGCAAAAGCAAACTTCAACAGGCGAGCATTGACATCAGCATCATCGAAACAGCTGGATCCAACAAGCATGAACAACTCATTACGGTACAAGTGGATATTTCCAAAGACGCCTAAAGGAGCAAAATCACTGAATAGCCCACTTCTTTCTTTTTTTTTTTTCTTTAAAAAAACAAAAACAACAACAACTTCCATTGCTTAAGCTCTCAGAATGAGATCTGTCTTACGCATGAAGACCAACTGACACAGACAACCATGAATTTCAAGTGAAATGTAGTTGAAATATCGTTCAATTATTTCATTCACAAAAAATCTGGATTTTTTTTTTTTGTTTTTTAGTGTAAGAACCACCTTCAAATTCATTTGAAAAAGCAACCATCACCTGAAGCAGTGAGAAAATTAACACAACTTTCCTCATCAAATATATGGTACAGAATCAGGAAGCCATGTCCACATTAAATAGCAGTGAAACAGTTCAGGTACACGTACAGAACAATTTTAGGAAAAAAGACTGTTTAGGAATTATGTTGTCCAGGAAGTCTGGTAACAGTTTCTGTACACACACACACACGACTGAACAAGCACATCTTACAAACCTACAGAAAACATTTAAGTACTCCTTTATTATAACACATTTGCCCAGCCTTCAGCATGATAGCGATTCCACCTTAAAATAACTTCAGAAGGCTCAGCAGAAGCACTCTGACAACACACCAAGTTTAGAAAAAGTGCCCCACATTAAGCACCTAAATGAACAAACCAGAATAAATATTCATTAGAAGTCATAGCAAAGTGAAGATAATTTGTAAATGAAAACCACATTTTAAACATTAGGAACATAAAATTTTTACCTTGCCTTTAGTGTTTGGCAGCTAAAGTATTTCTCACTTTCATAGCAACCAAAAATACAACACTTAAATATCAACACGACCAAGAAAAGATTCAGCCAGAAAGGACAAACACAAAGCATGAAAGAAACCAAAACCTTTTATTAAGTCACTTTAAAAAAAAAAATACATTTTGTCCAATGGGATAGTAACAGATTTCTTACCAATTTAATTCCCTTCTTAAACATATATAATCTGAGAATAAAATTTTACCACCCAGTCCTCAAACAGATCCATCACTGGACAACCACTGACCCAGTCCCCTGATCAATTCAAGTGCAAAGTCCATTTTGATCGGATGATCACAACCCAGATCTTCTCTGGTTTAAAAAACACAGGAGTCCACGTTTTAACGTCCTTCTCTTGGACAGAAATATCACAGCACTCATGCATTAGTCCACTTCCTCAACCTCTCAATCAAGAGTGGAACTGCCATCTTGTTCTCATTCGTAGACTCCTTTTGACATTCTTCATCTTACTGGATTCTTAATGGAAAATTAAAAGAAAAACGCTGTTGGAATACAGATCATCTTATCTTTAAACTAAGACATTCAACAACAGTACCTTAGAATATGCTTCATTCCATATCATGCACCCAAAAATAACTAGTTTTTTCACCAACTAAGAAGGTCATCAGTTCAAAAGTCAAAAATATGAACTTGAATCCAAACTGTAAAGAAGCAGAGGAGGAATGATTTCAACTTCAAGAACCTTTTCAGGCCCCATAAGCTCCATTTAATCTTTTTTTCCTATAGCGTTAAAACACTAGATAAATCAATAGTGGGAAAACATGAGATACTTGCCCTGGGAACCATCTTTATTGGTCTGACCCATCAACTAAAGCTGACACTGCTTAGAAAAGCCAATTTAATTATAATTAACCCAAAAATTTTTAACGGCTGTTCACTGTCCTTTCTTCTAACACAGTGACCCACCAAAACCAAAGTATGAAAACTGGCTTCCTATATGAAGACAGTGACAGGAAACAAGACATTCTTGAAATCACACCATCATAATACAGCTCTCTAGCTTATGGGAGACATACAGTTCAACAAAAAAACACTTAGAAACAAAAAGGATGGCTGATCTGGTTACTACTGAGAAGAAACATGTCAGAAAGCAGATGAATAAGGTCACAAGTCAGTTTAGTTGCTTTAGCAAAGCCACCATACTACTCCTGAGCCATAGTCCAGCTTCACTTTCACGTAACAGCAATCCAGCCCACAGGTGAATTACAAAAACCAATTTCCCAGATGAACTCTATGTGGATGAACAAAAATCAAATGTCTCCACCTTTACGTTTTCTTCCAAGAGTAATAAGCTGGGGTACCTCAAGGAAACTACTAACACTCCTAACACTCAAACATCAAGAACAGGAAGTTACTCTATGGTCAAAATATCATTCTAAAATGAACGATGACCACAAGAGATTGAAACACAATAAAGATTTTATAATGGCTTCCTGATTTTGAGTATCTGCACTCTAACAATATATTTATGTATTTTGTTTTGAATGTGCACAGCTTTAATCAGATTTTAGTCTGAAAGCTAACTCCACCCCTATGCTGCTCCTGTGAGTCGTGGGCACATTCTCAGAAGGGATACAGAAATTACCCACAGTACAGCAAGAATCAGTGGAGCCATCTAGTGGGCCCCCATTATCCACGTTTCTCCATCCTCATCTCAAAATTGCCAGTAAGAGCAAAGTAAATAGTGATGGAACCAGTGCAGCAAGCCTCCACCTGACTTCCATAATGAAGTCCACCTATGGGCCTCGTGCACCATTCCTCTATAGAAAAGTTTACTCCTTGTTTTAAACACAATGGAAAAGCAGCACAGCACAGAAGTGGAATGCAGGATCTGGTCAGCCACTTTCCGTAATAAACACTGTGCATCACTTGCACTAATGGCACTCTTAGTCATGAGATCTTTGATTTCTGCTTCTGAAAACGTACATATTTGCCTAAGTTCTTTGTTTCAAGCATTCAATTTATCCTCACTGAGGACAAATTAAATATATGGAAGGGTTTCTTTTCATTGCTAACCTAAAAAAAAGCCAGTTTGTGGATTGGTTGGTTGATTGGTTTGAATGATTGTTTTATATACTAGCCTAATTTCAAACTCATTCAGCCAATTGAAAATAAAGTAATACTTTGGGTATTTTTAACAATGATGTTCAAACATGTACCAAAACATGAGGAAAAAAATCACCAGCACTAATTTGAACACTACTGTTATCATCAAATATTCAGAAGCATTAACAGCAGTGCAATGGAAGCCCTACAAATAATATCTTTAAAACGTTTTGTTTATTTCAAGAAATAAGTGGATTTAATTATTGATAATAGCTTTTCCCACTTCTCAAAAATGTAATTTAGTTATACATCACTCAACCTTGAAAGGCCCTTTTCAGTTGAGTTAGCTTTCTGCCTTAAACACTAACGAGATCTGCCAAGAAACATTTAAGGGCAAATTTCTTTACTAGGTTCACCTACACTTGGTTGTACAAAAAACTCTGCAAGTAGCCCTGTCACATTCACTTCACACACTTCTTTTGACCTTGCAAAATAATTAGCAGTAAACAGAACTGTTAGCATAATTAAGAAAATGCTGCAACAGCTACTGGTCTAGAAGTTGTTCATACATCAAGAAGTAATGGCTAACGTCGTAAGAGCAATCAATATGTCTCACATGAAACTTCTTCATTAGATGATTTCACACCACTTGTTTACTTACAAGCTGTCCTTATGAAGAAGATGGCTAAGACATTTCAGCAGCATTGCTAAAATATACTCCTCCACTAAGACATGCAGTGACCTCGCATTTAGTGCAACCATGAACAGCCACATTTCTGCCATAGTATATAGCCAGATAGCCAGATACTCAGTTCCTTCTGTAACATCAGCTAGACAATATTCCCATTTTTCCAATTTCTATTACCTACTATTCGATATACTTGTTTCCATACCCAGTATAATGGCCAAGATAAACAAAACGACCTGGGTAGTCAATGTAATATTGTTTCCTTCAAACTGGTAACCACTGGTAACATAATGACCAGTCTGGCAAACTGGTAACATTCCTGAAACCTTTGTGTTTACAAAGCTTTTGCTTCAGATAATTGCTTATGTGATACTGTATCTATTCAGAGACCAAAGCAGCAACATACATCCCTTACTGCCAAAATTGTGGTCTCATTTTTTTGGGTCAGCTGAAAGCCTTTATTTCTCAAGTATTGAGATTGAAGACCAGTGACAAGATACAGAACAGCCACGTATCAGTGCAAGTGTGCAAGACACCAACACAGTTACAAGTTCTTCAGACTGAAGTCTCTCATACTCCAAGGCTGGTATACAAGATTAGAAACTGCCTGCTGAAGAAATGGACTCCAACAGAGGGAGCTGAATGGACAGAACGAGGTTCTGGCAGATGAAACCTCAAGTTCCGTACTTCAAAGCTGATTAAAAATTTTACTTTCAAGAGTCATTAAAGATTCTGAAGATACCTCTGGTAGCTCCTGCACTAGAAGGAAAAGCAAATGTGCCCTCTGTTGACATTAAGAGCCTCCAAGTAAGTAACCAGGTGCTCTGGGCAGTCCAAAGTCCCCGTTCACATTACTGCACGTTCAAGTAAGCACAGCAGTGAAAGAAAAACAACTCATGGAATCAGCAATTTCTAACTGAGAAAAGCAGTTTTCCAGGTATTTCAGATTTAAAAATTAATGTAAAATGTGATCAAGGACAGACTTCATGTACAGCTGCACTTTTCAGGAGTATTATTTTCAAAACCAACCGTAAGTCACATTTAAATAAAAAGTATCTGGAATGAACATAAGCCACGTAGATTTTACTGCACATAGCAAAGCACGTTAACTTCATTAAAGCTCCTAGTGCTTTCCTCTCCCATCTAATTAAGAAAGGAATTAAAAATCAGAAGTATTTAAAAAGTACATTAAAACATTTTTAAAGCAGGATCCATGCTAGCAGGTACCCAGATACGGTACTAAAATACACTTTTCAAGACTCAAACATTCCCACGTTCTTTTGCAAATTCATTTTGAATTAACAGATCTTGAAGACAACTGCCTCCAATTGGCACTTTCACATTTACCCTCTCCTTGAGGTAAAGATTACAAAATAAGGACAGAAAAATTACCCAGTGTGTAACCTGAAGCCTAATCCCTCCTCAATAGACCAGATCTGACACAGCTTATTTACATTTCAATGACAAAAAATGGGAAAACATACAACAAAATGAAAGAGGTGGATATTTCACGGACAAGTGCAACACATTAATAAATCATGCTCAGAGATCATAGCAGATGATCAGGGAAGAAAGGTAACAGTGGACAGCAGCTCAGCAAGAGTTTCAAGGAACAGCTAGAGAGAATAACATCTGCTTACAACACCTGAAGAAATAAGCTGTTTTGCATACACTTGCACAATGAAAGGTAGCTTAATACTTTTAGAAGAACATAATGAAATTTAGAGAACAGAAGAAGTGGTGAAACTAAGCCAAGATCACCAAAACATGCCACACACTAAATTGAATTCCCTAAGGTTGGTCTTTTCTACTCTTTTGCTTCACGACCCAACGCACTCACTGATAAAATACTCCAAAATGAAGTGTAACAAAAGCAGCACAAGGCCACAACACATCCTGGAGTGAATAAGGACTCTCCCCCCCACACACTCCTTTTTGCTTTCCAAAGAGCTCTCTCTATCTTAGTCCTCACATCACAGGAACAGAACAGAAGAAAGTGAGCGACTTGGGAGCAGTTGCTTTTCTAGCACGTGAGGCAGCTTTGATGGCATTTTGTTCTCATTAAGGTTTGGTTGCTGGAGGTTGCTGCTAACATAGCCAGTTAAAAGTTAACAGCTACTGTGCATCACTGAAACTAGGGAAAAGCTGCATCTTGGAGCAACATGTTTTTCAAGCTACCTGCAGCCTAAGGCAGGCACTGCTCAATGAGACACCCCTTCAAACAGGGAGAACTGCCTCCAAGAAATTGCCTCTTAAAGGAACGTACGTTCTGAAGCACAGTTCCACAGGAATAGAGAGCCTCCTACTAAAGTCACTTGATGCACACAAATCCAATGGATGGCCTAAGTGAAAACGTAGAACCAAGGATGTGGAACTTTAAGCAGACAGGAAAACAAAAGGACTTGAGTATTTCCAGAGAGGGCTCCTGAAAGAGTCACAGAACGTGCCAGAGTCAGCAAACAAATCGAGACCCAACTGCTTTCAGCAAAGGAAGATGGAGACTATTCCATCCCCACCTTCATCCAGTGCAGAAATGAATAAACTCTTCTACTCAAGCCAAATGACTCAAGTCATTTTTACATGTTGACTATATGGAGAATGATTCTTAAATGAAGGTTTATCAGCTAGCAGTTTAACGCAGCAAGCTGTATCAACATTACAGCTTTCTGCAAAGCTGAAACACTCTGAAAGATGGAACAGAAACAGAATCATCATAGAAGAAAAAAGTCTATAGAGACAATTACTATCTGCTCAAAGCCACTCTCTTGAGGCTGACAGAAGCATAAAAGGACAACATGAAATGCTTGTAAGGCAAATTTATCCTGCTGTGACACTTTCCACACCATTTGTTACCTAAATTTTAAGTGCAGAGTGACAGGCATTTGTGTGTCAAGCCATTCTAAACTAGCAAATTTATGATTCAATAATGCTCATAAATACGGAGTTCAGTGACAGAAGCAGCAGAATACCACAATTACATATGAAAGCTCCTCTCCAGAAAGATAGCTTTTGTTTCTTATAGCTCAGCAACAATGCTGCTGTGGTCCTCCTAAGTGAGCCTTGTAGAAACACACACATGCACAGCAATACATTTTCAAGGACTTCAGAATGTACTCAGCCAAAAACTTCAGCAAGTTCAACATTACAGCCATATGTTGGTTTTTTTCTTTCTTAGTTGTTTTTACAGCTAAAATGTAAAAATCATTATTAAGAATAACAACTTACCAGTGCTTCAACCAAGAGCAGTTATTTTGCTTACAGTAAATCATTTCCTCAATACATCTGCAGGAAAAACAGTATATTAAATGCTTAAATTAATAGTAAAAAAAAAATAAAAACATAGACAAAGACATAGCAGACCAGAACACAGAAGCCTAGGTTTATGACAGAAGTCGAAGTTCCCCCCTTGAATAGAAACACTCCCAAGCACAAAGTATGGAAGGCACTTTTATGAAGAATCTGAACCTGAGGGATGACTGGGCAATGTGCAGTAAGAATCTGTACAACTCTCCCCCAAAAAACTATTCATAAATCTCCTAAAGAGAAAATAAACCAAGTGGAAACATGCTGAAACCAATCTGCCTTCCACATTAAAGCAATTAAAATACTCATTTCACAAATAGGTGGTAACAGTTGGATGCAGTAGGATAGTTTGACAGACTCACATGGAACAAGTTATTTGATCTGTATCTTACAAAGCTGCTCGTTATGGTCAAGTCCCAGATATGAAAACTCCATCTGGAAAATGCTTATTGGGAATCCCTACCGATAAACTCCTACTAAGAATCATGTTATGCAGAGGTAAAAAGACTAAAACAAAACCTGAAATGTCAAGACCTCACCAATTCCTCTCCTTTTCTTGCTGAATTTCATCCATACCAATCAACCTACAGTCATGAGATACAGAAGTTGCCTTCTGATGTAGAAGGAAAATACTTCTCTCATGATCTCTCAGACTCTATTTATACTAGAACACACCTTCCAACAAAGTAAAAATTAATGAACCTGTATGATGAACCATTATAATGAGGTTCATTTCCTACAGTGTTATACATTCTCATCTTCAAACTGATAGCTACTCAGATGAGTAGAAAGAAAAACAGATGAACAGTTATTTCTCTGCTGTTACAATTCACTTGAAACAACACAGGAAAAAATCCCTTTAGAGGGAAAAATTAATAAAGATCATGAGTGCATGAGTGGCATAAACATGAAGGATATCAAGATGAACATGAAATTTACATGTTTAAAATATGTACTTAAAATGATGATCCAACAGCTGTTACTAAATGAAAGCACGTGAAGGCAATCCTAAAATGGTGGATGAGTCTGTAGAACACAACATGGTTGCCAGCTTTTGACCATTCAAGAGGCACCTATCAGTCATTTACTCAGAACACACATGAAAAGCTTAAGATGTGTGAACTAGATAAAGAGGCTTAATTATGTCCTTCAAATCTCCTTCTCTCCCACATCTAACATTACACTCAATAAAACACTCAAGAGTGCAATGTAATAGATGAAGACTAAGTAAAGCCAGCCATGGAAAGGTTTTCCAGTTACAGCACTCAATCATTTCTAACAACAAAAACACATTATCTACCTTCAAGCTACTTTGTTTTCTTTAAATCTAGAGATAGCATTCATTTAAGGTAATTTCTCAGAAACTTGAATGAGGATATAAAATACGGCTTTGTAACAGCACAAAGTAAAAGCCTCCTCTACCAAAACACTCCAGTTCAGAGCTGACCAGACAGCGCTCTTCCCAACTCAGCAAAACGTTGGAGAACAGATGCAGTATTTGTTGTGGTGGCACTGCTAAGAAGTAGTGAAACCTCTCTTCATTGAACAGATGAATCCATCAAACAGTGAGTTTCACAAAACACCACCAAGATACAAGTTAATGTACATAAACAAGTGATCCTTTTTTCACTATTTTCAAACACACCCGAACAATTCAGTTTACAATTGTTGATACCCTTGAGGTATTCACTCCCTAACTATTAAATGCAGCACAAAAGCTGAATGCTTACACCAAGAGCAGCAGACTGGGCAGACAGTAAACAAAAGCTTAAGACAATTAACACATCTATTTCCTATTAAGCGTTCTTTCATACACGGCAAATTAAACAGCTCTTAATCCAACTGGTCACAGTAATTGCTGTAGATATCATGTGATTAGATTGTTAAACTAACGTGGACTTCTTTGGTAGGCTTACAGTTGCATCTTATATTTCCAGAGTACAAAGAGATGTTGTAAGTCCCCCACAGAAAACATGCTTTGCAGCACAGATGCTACTCCTTCACCAAGAGATTAGCACTAGTGTGTCCACGAAGCAGGAAAACACGTCTCCTTTCATAATGAAGCGAGACGAGCTGCTCTTAAACCACTGACTTGACATCACTTTCTTTATCAGGAGAAACTAAGGAAGTATTTTTGTGAAGATGATACAACCTATAGCCGTCCCACTGGTTTTCCACCTAAGCTGTCAATCCTACAAACGTTACGCCTTATTAATATGCTGCAGTGTGGTCATGAGCTTAAACCTTTCCTTGAGTCCCAGTAAGGCATACCTAAATTAAGGAGCAAGCTGACACTTACTAGATGAAAACACGTTCATACAAAAACAAGAGACTCCAAAGAGGTCACAAAATCAGCAAGGGACTTTTAAAACTGTTTGTATTGTAAGTATCCATTCAGCACAAACAGCATCATGATGGCATACAGAGCATATAAAACAATTAAGACCAAAGAGCTCAATTTCATATGCATTCTATAATGCTCAGGTCAGTCAAGATGACTCAGCTCTAAGCACTTTTTAAAAGCAAGTCATTAAGAGTGGTAATTTTAGTAGCTTAAAGATATAGTATTAGGACACAAATCTTGAGTTTGACTAGCTCCATTACTACCACCAAGGTCCGAATATTCTTTTATGTGAATCACAGCTCAGTCTACATAATAGACTGTAATACGCCTGGCAATTCTGGCCCTTCATAAATGAAGATTCACATGGGATTTCAAGTATGCTGTGCTGCTCTTCTCAAGGTATCAGATCATTCCTACTAATTTCTACTTCTCAAACTTCTCCTCAGGCAGAGGCACAACGAAGGTCCAAAATGCACTGAACAACGTATTTCCTTTCTAACCTTTGCTGCAGCACATCCACACAGTACGGTGTATGTCTGTTACCTGAAAACACTGATTTCCATCTTGCCTATTGTCTGCTGTTACTGCTAGAAGTTCATTACAATACAAACAGATTTAAAATGCCTAAAGAAAATAGGTATTTAACTCCTCTTATACGAGCAGGCTGTTGCTTCATCCAAGCCAAGGAGAAAAGCTGCACTCAGGTAAGTCTGTAAGACTGGTCTTCTTAACTTATGAGGATAAATTCTGTGTATATTTCAAAGCAAATTGTCAGGAGTATTTTTGAGAGTTCTGCTACACATCTCCAAGTAAACGCCCTTAAGCTCTGAGGTCCGGAATTTACATTGAAGGACATTAGCATCGTAAGCTGCAAAAAGGAACCAGTTAAGACAGACAAACAAGATTCCCAACTTTTAATTATACAGTGGTAAAAGCATGGCGCAAATGTAACATGTTACTCTGTCTCTAAACACAGAACCTCGAAATGTAAAAAATAATAATAATAATCAAACATTGGAACGCTGGTTAACTGACACTGCAAGGACAGCAAGATTTTTTTGTTCAGACTGAGTGTGGGTTTAGGCTCTTAAGAGTAAAAAGAAATTAAAATGTTGAGAAGAGAATTTCTGTGTTTCTTCTGTAAAAATAGTGCGTAAAAACTCACAAACATCACCTTTAACAAATCAATACCTTCAGTTCAACTATTTCTAAAGTTTGATTAAACTGGTAGTCGTTGACAAGAATGGCAACCCCAATAAGCACAGGCTTACTTCACAGTTCTGCTCATTTCAGATTCTTAAAAAATGTCTTACAAATAATATAAAAATCAGAAAATTAGTAAAGAGACTTGAGCATTATTTAGCATATAATAGCAGTTCTCAAATGCACTGAGATTGGAAAGAAAATTCAACAAGGTCTGAGCTTAAACACGTCATGTTTATTTTGCTTAAAAAAATAACACATATAGAATTAAAAACAGAAAACCAATGGTAGAACATACCTGGCACACACAGCATTCAATTCTGATCAAGGTCTTTTACTTGACCAGCCATCTGAATCCTCCGTATTCATTAATAGCCACTAAAGAAAAACAAAGCAAAAGAAACAAGTCTGTCAGAGAAAAAAGACACACACGGGTTTTTACCTATGGTCTTTATGTTCTTGACCAATATAAACTTCTTGAAAACATGGTGGGTGTCTTACGACTGATAAAAATTGTACCTAGAATACATGTTAATATCTGTATTTACCAAGCATTACCATTCAGGTCTCCAAAAACGAACAAGACCCCGCAGAACAGTCTTCTGCAGAAATACCTGAAGCCTAAAGTTATTCTGTCACACACAGATGTCACCATGCGCCCAAGCATTAATGCTACAAACGTTCTGAATACAAAAAATACAGTTTCTGAAGCTGAATGCCTGTTTTCACAGGTGAAACGAGACGCATGCAGTTATCTGGGTCTACACAAATACACTGTCACCTCCCTCAAATACAACACGTGTGTATATTTACACACATACAGTCCACTTTCATAACTAACCTTAGAAAAGCTAAAGTGAAAAGAGAAGGGGCATGTATTTCATTAATTGCTGGAAGTCTAACTGTGTCTGCAGAAAGAAGGCATCCAAGAAGTCCAGACCGTTTATAAAACGCGTTCCTTCCAATTTAAGTTGAATTTTTTGCCTTTTTTTCCCCTCACAGTAGTAAAAAAGCAAAACTCACAATCATATAATTAACAATAACTGTATGTACTAACACAAGTTATAACCACTCTTACCTAAGAAAATAAGGTACCAACGATTCTTCTGGAAGCCATTCAGGAAACAAGGTATTGTTCATGGAACTCTACCTGAAAGAAAAAAAAAATACACTCAGCATTTTGCTTTAGAAAATTAGGACAAGATGCTTGAAATTTATTGACCTTTTGATGATTATTAAATTAAGAAAAACTTACAGTAGCAGTAACTGCATCTTTATAACTCAACTCTAAAAATAAAAGTACGGGTGACTGTACATACTTGGCTGAAGAAAAACACAGGAGATGCAGAGTGACTGACACACAACATGCACGATCTCTATTTCTGCATGAAGAGCTGTAATCTGCTCTTCTGTCTCCTATTCCTTTGACCAAAAGATCAAATGCTTAACCAGTTTAGCTTTTCCTTAGGAGTCATTTCTGTATAGCAGAACGCTTCTCAGTCCCTGCACTCTTCCCACATTAAAGTCCCTACAAGTAGGCTATGCAACATTATTTAAAATTACCTGCTATCGCTGCAAGTTCTGAAATGGCTTCTGTCATTGGCCTCTGAATGCTAAGTCAAGAGTTACCTCATTTCCCCAAATAAGGTTTCTTTCGTGCCCCTCCGAATAGAATTTAAAGCCTCCAGCTCTCCGACCTTCATGAGATCCCAAACCGTGCTCCTCCACACACCCAACCCATATCTGCATTACCTTCAGCCAACTTCCCTCGCTTTTTGTGCAAAGCCTCAACATTTAATCCTGCAGCACTCACATTTGCCATCGCTACTTCATACTCTGGAAGAAGTTTGAAATAATCCCATTCATATGTGGGTAAATTAAAAATCGTTTTCATGTTACGTTAAGGATTTAAATTATAAGACCAACATCCCACGTACAAAAAAATGCACAGATATTAAACAAAATACGTTAAAAATTACAAGCAATTCACTGTGAGCGACGGCTGCTATTTTGGCTTCAGCAGCTGAAAGAAACAAACCAAAGCTATTTGAAAATATGTCCCCTTACATACTAAAAGAGCAAAAAACTACAGCCCCCCACCTAAAGCTAGAACTTTCTTTTCTGCAAAGTCTGCATGTCAGAACCTGTTATACACTGCAGAACTGTTGCTGGAATTACAAAGCCAGAACCCAAACCTAAAACAAAGATATGAAGCACCCTGCGTAAAGGTGATACAAGTCCAATGGCTGCTCAAACTTCTATCTCCATCTCTAAAAAAGGCCACTTTCATTGTTGCCACGATGGATTCGTGTTTGCAGAGGAAAAAAATGAAAATGTAGGTTTACCTCTAACTGCAGCATTTAAAACCTGCACGGAGTTTTATAATCTTGTACAACAGATGAATGCAATAAATATGGCTACACACAATATCCAATTAGAACTGAAGTTCTTAATATTTACCTCCTGCTTTACTGCAGTGACTTCTTACACATTTGGAATTACAGCTTTACCCCTAAATTGTTAATTGCTGAACGTAAGCCAGCACAAAACAAACATCAGACATTCCATTTAAACTTGCATTTTTCAAAAGTCTTGCAATAGCTGTCGGACAACTTCTAAATTATTAACAAGCAAAACAACGATAGAAATGCTATATAAACTGAAACGACTGCAAGCTCCCTGAAAAATGCACGGACTGAACACTAGGAACAAAACTGTCACCCAATAAATGCTTTTTAAAAGCTTCTACTGTCACACGGGAACCCATTCGCCTCCGTATCGCATAATTCCTATTTAAATAAGTACCTTCTCTTCTCCTGCCATCGCCTAAATCACAACTGTAGTATTCTGCCAACTTCAAACTACAGACTTGGCACCACCGATCTTTGTTTTCCTCATGTTTGGAAGTTTTCATATTGCCATTTAAATAGTAAAATCGTATCTTCCGTAATTGTTGGAGTTTTCTTTAAAGTTCAGCACCTGAACAACTGTTTTCCAAGTGCGGTATATTCCTATCCATTGTCTCAATAAAGTACAGAGCTGTCTCATCCGCAGCCTGTTTTTTTTACTTGCTGGTTTAGAAAGAGTTAAAAGCCAACACCCCACCAGAAAAACCCACTAAGTTTTATTTTTAAGAGAAAAGGACATGGCGTCTTTGTTCTTATCAACTACGAAAACATACCCCCCATCCGAGCAGCGACGGGCAACAAACGCTCTTTAAACAGACGGGAGCTTCGGGGCTAAGCACGTAACCACTGCCGTGCCACGGTCCGCACCCGCCGAGTTCTCGCCGCTGCAGCGGAGTCGTAGGGCGGCTCGGCGCTGCACGGAGCGGTGCGGCCCCGCAGCCCCTCGTCCGCCTGCCGCAGCACCGGGGCCGCCGCCCGCCGTCGCCCCCATCCACAACTCCCCGGCCCGGGGCCGCCCTGCACTCGGGGGGCGGGGAGCGCTCCGCAGCCCCAGAGGCGGCGGGGAGGACGCGTCGTAGCGGGGCTCCCTCCGCGGCACCCCGGCCCCGAGGTTCCCTCTCGGCCCGGAGGGGCTCGGGGAGAAGAGCCGGGGTCCCCCGGGCCGCCCTCGGGGAGAGGGGCGGGGGTGGGGGGGGAGGACGGGACGGCGGGAGCGACGGTGGCCCCCTCCCCCTCCCGGCTCCAAGGACGTTTTGTTTTTCCTCCCAAGGACAAAGGACAATGAGGAGCAGGGCGGCTCGGGCACTTACCGGCGACTGCAGCCCGCTGCCGGCCGACGAGGGCCCCGAGCAAGGGGCACTGCCGCCCTCCTCGCCCCGCCGGCGCCCGGGGGACGGCTCCGCGCCCGCCCGCCGAGGGCGAGGTTCGGGCAGGGCTCGGCAGCCCGGCGCCATTGCCCTTCGCCCGTCGCAGCCCTTCGGCGGCTCCCCCGGCCGCGCTCCGTCGCCCCCGGAGACCCCGCAGCACCGGGCCCGACGTGGCCGCCGAGCCCGGCACCCGGAGCGCCCGTCGGACCCCCCCGTTCCGAGCGGCGGGGAAAGCGCCCGGGAGCCGGGCGGCGGCGGCGGCTGCTTCCCCGGCCATCTTGTGCCGTGTGTGTGAGGGAGTCTCTCCCGTCTCCTCTCAACTCCTTCCTCCCCTCCCCCCCGCACAACATGGCCGCCCGCTCGCTACTCACTGCGGCGAGGAAGGGGCGGGGCCGCCCCTGCCCCCAACCTACGGCGCGCGGCGCCCCCCCCCCCCCCCCCCCCCCACTACGCGTGCGCGGCACGCCGCTCTCCATTGGCAGCGCCGCGCCCTCCCCGCCGGGACCGAGGGCGCGCACCGCTCCTATTGGCCGCGCCGCGCCCTCCTTCGACCTCCCCGCTCCGGGCTCGCGCGCACCCCAGCCGCCGTCTCTCGTTGGCCGCGCGCACCGCAGCTCCCCGCCTCGGAGGCCGCCGGCCGCCGCCCATTGGCTCCCGCCCGCCTCCTCGCGCCCGCCCCGCCCGCCGCGGGCTCGCGTCCCGTCCGCCCTGGCCTCCCCTCAGGGGGAAGGAGGCGGCGGGAGCCGGCCGTGAGCGCCCACCCTGCCGGCGGCCCCAACCCCACCTGGCCGGGGCATCCCCGGCTCCACCCAGCCTCGGCCTCGAGCTGAGCACCGCCTCCTTCCCAGACGGGGCTTCGACAACCCTCAGGCGCTCACAAAGTGCCTCAGCTCTCATTCGTCCTTGAGGCAGGACATCTCGCTTGGGCCCTTCCAGCAGCCGTGTCCGGCCAGGGCCCACCTCACCACATACCGCAGAGATGTTTCTCCCTTTACCCTAGTGCCTTCTCTGATGCCTCCACCTGCTCCACATGCCCATCCATGCAGACAGCTGCAGGAACTTCTTACCTGCCTGCCTGCAGCATCACTGTCTGCATTAGAGCCTCTCAAAAACACCACAAGCGCCCAAACACGACACAGCACCCTGCTTTTTTTAGCCAACACCATAGAAACTGGCTCATATGGCAACCTCACCGGGATGCTATCTCCTATTTTGACTACTGCCATGGAAACCAGATACCAAGAGGATGGGAGCATCCCCATGTGCTGGCCAGCATCTGAGATGTCAGCCTGCAGCCAGTCAGTGAGGATACTGCTCTGCACCCAGCTAACGTGACAATGCCATAATTAATATTTACATGCTTCAGCGATCGCAGCGAGCGATTAGCATGCCTTTCTCTTTCTGTTTGTACAGCTTACTCTGTTAAAAGCAAAAAGATGGCCCGTTCTTCCCCTATTTTTAAACAGTAATGCGAGTAGGTATGGCAGCAATTAAGTCAGCAATACCTGAAATGTTTGGGGAAGGCCTATAGAGAGCTAGTCCGGCACTGGAAATCATGCAATTGGACTGCAGCAGCAGCCTCCTGAATTGCAGCCCTGGAAAAGCCAGTATCTGGTCAGCTGGAAAGAATCATTCACTAATGTCCCCAAGGATAATGATTCTGAGCTGGGAGATGCATTTCTTTGCAAAATACAGAGAAACACAGACCTCTCTGCATAGGATAGGTGGAGACAGTTTGTATGGCAGGACTGCACAAATCTGCTGCCTTACAGACTGTGGTGATACAGCATTAGCGGTCTCCTAAAAGCAGTGCTGGTGGCCCACATGGTGATAAAGGGAGCCTCCAGCCAAGGAAGTACTGGTGGGGCAAACACGCAGATATTGGATTCTCACTGGCAGAGCACAAAAGGCCTTTTGATTTTTCTCCACAAGCAGAATCGGAGATCTGGTTTGTTGAAAATATGGGGTACAGGGAACCTGTTCTGCAGCTTCATTTCCATTCAGATTCTTGCAAAGCAAAAGCTAATCCTCTTGCTCTCAGTGGAACTGTGCATGCATAACTGCATGCAAAGGTGCTGGCATGCACAGAACCCAGGTGCTGCCTGTGCTCCTTGGAAGATTACCAACAACGAAGAGAAGGGAAAGGCAACCACAATGAGGCACAAATCAGACAGAAGTACAGTACAGGAAAAGCACTGCTACTTACACAGGCATCGTCACTCAGTGTGGAAGGACTGTCTTCACAGCAAGGGTAAAGACATGAAGTTCAATATACGACTCCAAGCCTTTCTGCTGTTTCTTCCCAGAACACATTCCTAGAAAAGCATATGAAGTACGATCACTCGTGACAGCCACATGAAATGGAAAAGATCAAGTGTTTAAGACATAACTGCACTTCGTAAGAATAGTGTGGTTCTAGCCAGAATGGTTTAAGGTTATAACTGAACAAGACCTGACCTGCACGCTTATCTGATTTTCTCCAACACCCCAGGACTACCTAATGTAATACATTATTCATCTTTAAAAACATATTTATTCCTGTACCTTCTACATATGTATGTTTTTAACAGTCGATTACTCTACTGCGTTGAAGTATAACCAGAAAGTTACTGGAAGTCTAATACCCTAATTAAATATAGTCAGTGCTGCTCGTTTGCTTCCTGGCCACCAAGGCAAAAGCAGCTCCAAAAAGACTGACAGAAGGATCCATTTCTCCTCCTCTTTCTTGGCTTCTAGTGAGCTGTATGTAAGGGAATATAAGTGCAGTCACTCCAACCAGTCACTACACTCATCAGACAAATTTCGTGTTCATATATCAATGACAGACCATTTGCATTCTGTTTTCCTACTAAAACGGAAGAACAGTGCTAGTTTCCTTTCTCACACTTTCATCTCCCATGGTCAGCTCCGCATAAACACTAAATTCTTGTTCCTACCACCTCTATGGTTTCTAAATTTCTTATTTCTGATCAACTGCAATTTCCTCTATACACTGTATTCTATTCTAGACAGCACTTTCTTTTTCTGGTTTCCTGTATCATTAAACCAAATACTTCACCCATGTTTTATGAACCACTTGTCAGAGAATAATGAGGCAACTTAGGGTTTCCATTACTAATTTGGGAAATGCTTTCTGAGACTGCATCTGTGGCTACAACTCCCAATTTAGGCACCCAATTTCATTCTATGAGCTTTTAACCTTCCTCCCCAGCTTCCATGAAGGTCATTATCAAACAGGATAACAGAAGCCCTTCAAAAACATAAGCTATTTTGTGGTAGGCATTTAAATTCCTCCAGTGTGTTCACAGAAATTGTCACTTCATCCTAAACTAAGTCTACTCCTACATTCCATTCCTGTATATAATGTGTTAATAAAATAAACAGTGTTTTCTCTTGTGTTTCCTTCTTATTAATTCACCATTAAAAACACAGTAACACCCAGGCAAATAAAAATTACCTTTGATCACACTTCTGAAAACCTGCAATTTTGGAGCAGCGTGCACCAAGGCTGAGTGAACAGAGCTGCAGCTGCACTGCTCTCACTTGTGGACTTTTCACAATGACTGATATTGATTTGACTAAACTTTGACACAGAATAATGTCAATAAACAGAAAGGTAAATAGAGACAAAGTTCTTCTAAGCACAGAACCAACTTCCCTGTGTGGCTGCAAAGATTATTATGGTATATTGATCCTAGCTAAAGTTTTCTGCTACTTTCACACAGCAAGCAGTGATAGCACCAACAGTTCTAGCAGTCAGTTCATGCTGTTCATTCTCCTCTGGGTCTGGAACTGGAATTCAAGCTCAGACCTTTGTTCCATCACGTAAGGAACAACTGCAAACACATCTACATGGAGAAATTTTGCATACGCCCTTTTTGCTGCTATGACTTGATGCTGAAAACTACAATTCTGTTAATATGGCACTTTTGCTAGCACTTTCATGGTGCTCCCATTTAGAACGATGAACCTTTTGAGCTGCAAGAGAAAGTTTTATTACCAAGAATAATTTGAAACAAATTTTTGTTACTGTCACAAGCATATGATAAAGAAAATAAATCTTTCAGTCCGCTACGCCATATTCCAGTACTTTTTGCAGCTTACTCAAAATTAAACTCTTCTAACCACAATTCAGCTCTTTTTATGTTTTCAAAGAAAAACAATTTATCAATACGAAAATAATATCATAAGGAAAATGAGAAATTGAACTAATATCTTTTGTGGCATTTAGTCTCCTATCCTAAGCAATTTTTTTGACTTGTTGGTCAGAACGCAAAGAATTGATACTGTTTCTGTACACATGAAGTTGTGGTCTGAGCTCAGATTTCAGATCTAAGACCACTCAAAAACCTGCCCAGCTCATTTCATTTGGTGTGAATTCCCACACACAGTAAGGCAAACAGAAAAAAGGTAACTACTGCCTGGTGCTTACTGCACTTTATGTTGACTTGACCAAGGAATACACACTTGTTCTTCTGGAGAAATCTAGAGCTCTTTTCTTCAAGGAGCTCTGAAATTTGAAGTTTGATGTTTTTATATATTTAGCTGCTGGAGCTTATTACCACAGCTACTCGTATGGAATGCCCTGGTTTGTCAAGTTTGGTTCTTGGGTAACTATTAAACTATTCTTCTTGGCTTGGCAAACTTTTATGAAAGGAGTGGGACATGGTAGAAAAAAATACTGATCAACTCCTTCCACGCACCTGCTTCAACACCTGAATCTGTGCAAGTGCTAACAAGTATCTGGACATGAAGAAGAATGATGCAACTTTGCTTATAACTGACATCACTTCTGAAAGCAAACGAGATTAATGTGGACATTCCCAGGAACTTTAACACCAACAGCTACAGGTGAAGTCAGGCTGTATCACTTGAGTTACACGCTTTAACTTCTCTGTACTGACGCTCTTCACTGCTTTGGAAACTTAGGAGACTTGATAGTTATGCAAAGGTCAGACAAACCTGTAGGGTTTAAAATGAAGAACTGCAATCAGTATTCTTACCATTCTGGTTGTAAATACAGTCTGCAAAGTCATAGAAGTGTTCTGCTGTGATGGGGAATGGTCATCATTTCATCTTGAGTCAGAAAAGAAAAAAAAAAAAGAAAGCATTGGCAAGGTTAGGAGAGCTGTGCCCAGCTTCATGTTTCAAAATAAAGACACCGTACTCCTGTGTTCCAAGGTAACACACAGCTGATATGCAAAGAGTTAAAAAAAATATTTTATAGTTTTTAAACAAAACCTTCAGAATATCTGGATTTCAAATACAACTGAAAAAAAAAATTCAGAAGTTCTAGAAAGTTAATGTAGTATTTTTCAAACTCCAGTAATTTGACATCCTACCATGACTTGTGCCCTGTACAGATTTAAATTTTACTTCCTGAAATCATTCATCTATTCATCCTTCCAATTTGTTTTCTTCAAATGCGAGTCAGTAACGTTTGATTGCTTCAGAGTTTAAGAAATAGTGTGAGAATAGGGAAAACAGCACAAACTTGTGTTTACAGATTAAAAAGAAAAATCAAGGGAAAAAACCTCTGTAATATTTAATTCTTATTTTTTATTAAATCTCAATTTTTATTTTCGCCAAGGGAGATTTATGAAAGCTTTGATGACAAACATAACAAAAGGTGTTTCTTCTTGAAAAATCTCTGGAGTTCCAGGGCCACGAGGGCTCTGTGCTGCCCTCACAAACATGACGAATTTCACTCGGAGAGAGCAAGACGAATTACAGCTACTCTAGAATAAAGAAAGAAAAACAACCCAGGCCTCGAAAAATACAATACAGAATGAGATTCTTGTTCCAAGCAAGTCAAACAACATAGTAACAGCCTGTTTCCATAACAATCTTCATTCCTTTCTCTTCTGCACAGGTAGCACCACAGGGCAATGTATTGATTACTATATAATAGTTGACAAAATGATGCATTATTCAGCAAATTGCCACATGCAGTAACAGGAACCACGCTTTTCTCCGAAATTATACAAGCCTACTTTTTAAATTTTATAGACAACCAGCATGACAACGCATTGCATATATAAAAGGAAAGGCTTCCTACACTCATAGCTCAAAACAAACTCCTTTATATTTCTCAACACTAGTTAGATGAGGAGAAAACCAATTTTTGATGTAGTGATACTGTATCAGGGACGTGCTTGGATTAGAATGTCACCTTCCCAGAAACAGCTCCTGATGTTACCCATGAGGTTTTCTATTTCCTGCAGTCCATTTGCTACACGCTGGCTGCTGGCAGGGCCTCACCCAGCCTGAAACAGTTTTGTGCACGTCCAGCATGTTATCCATTGACAATAAGCAGGTTTAATACTTGAAAGCAATAAATTTGCATGCTGAAACAAATGTTCTCTCTCTCTCCAACCAAGTCATCAATGGCGAAGATCTTGTCTCAATGAAATAATTCACTAAGAATTTTTTTTTAATATATTTACTCAAAGATTTAATATTAAAAGGGTATAAAAGGTAAAAAAAACATATGCAGCCCGAAGAAGCACTGTCAGAACAGCACTGCCACAACATAAGGCCAGGAGCTTTTTGCAAAATTAGGGCACAAGACAAGATAGCTCAGGTCAGACATCCAATCACTATCGGACTGCAAACTTCACTGCATTTTTGCCCAGTGGAAGATCTACTTCAGGCTCTGCGTGCCCAAAAAGATCACTTATTTTCTTCAAGACTGAATACTGGGCGCAACTAAAAGTTATTTAACTTGCTCTAGAAATTGTCTCACTTTAAAACGCAGAAACGTTTAACATTTTAACAAAAGCTGTGATTTTGATCTCTTCTTGCAACTCCAGATGTATAGGCCTTAACTTGCACATCTGTGCCTTTAATTCACTCTGAGTAATTACATTTAGGTCAGTGGAATCACTCCAGCTTTTTCTTGGTGTGTCTAAATGGAATGTTGTCCTAAGGATCTGAAATGAACTGCAAGAATTTTGAGTAAGAGCAAACGTACACAAGACAAAAAAGATTCCAGAACACTTTGTGGAGGGAAACGTATGGGGAATACAAGTGTGTATGTGCAGGAAATTAAGTGAAATGCTTGAATAATTCAGAATCATAACGAGCAGAATTGAAACACTGGGATTTTAATAACCGACTTTATTTTTTTTAATCCCAGTTATTAAAACATTGCGCTGCTGGCTAGAAAATCAAGTACTGATAATAAGTATTTGGAGAGAGCTTTTACTGCATGAACAAAACCTCACGTTTAAAAGATTAATAAAGGACTGTCTTTATATACACATACACAGTCAAAAATGACCAAAACTGGAACAAAAAATGAAGCTGAAGATCAATTATTTAAATGCAGAAAGTCTACTCAAGTGACGCTAAAACGGAATTAAGCTTAGGAGAAAACAGAACCTAACTGAGAGGTTCAGAAAAGTGTACTAGTATATGCTGGGAAAGTAATTTTTATAAATCACAATTACTATATTCTTTATGATAATAATGCAGTTTTACAAAAGCAAACTAAAGACGTACATCAACTTTGTACCAGATCTCTATGCTGCACATGCTGCTGGCAATCGATGCACGCTGCTTTCAGGACACGCTGACCTATGGATTTAAGGTACCCCAAGAAGAATACAGATGGGCAATCAAGAAAATAATGATCCTGAGGTTGCAAAACGGCTTCTTTCCATTCTTTTTCTGTGATAAAGGAATCACTGCCTCAGGCAGTTCATAGTTGGAGACAAATTTGAAAGGAAATATTCCTTTAGAGGCAGAGACAGAGAATCGGGCACCTTGCAAAACTGAACTGCAGTTAACATGCAAGAAGCTGACTCTTGGCTTCATTTATGAGTAAAGCTCTCTGAAATCCCAGTGCTGTGTACAGGTTCTTTCCTCTCCCCAACAATCTCAGCTCATTGCCCCCTGTCCTGAGCAGGGCTGGGTGCCACACAGCATGGGCTGGAGTATTTCTGTGCCAAGCATCGCTGACCAGAAGACGCTGATGGTCTGGGCAGCAAGGACAGCAGAGCAATGAGCCCTTATACGCACTGTGAAGTTCTCTAGTGGAAGCACTGATTTGCCTCTGTAACCCAGAGCTTCCCACAAACTTCACTGAAATTTGCTGGAAACACACCATTGGATCAAACGCTAAAGGCCTCCAACAGCACGGTTTCACAAGCTCTGCCTCATTAGGAAGCCAGGATAAAAATACAGCAGCATGAAAAATAGATGAGCAGCTTTCCCTGAGTCTGAAACCAGAAAACAATGACACAAAACCAAAAATCACATGCAGCAATCTCTCCTGTATTTCCCAAATGCCAGCATTAACGCTCCCTCTCCCAGAGGCTCATTAAACAAACCAGCTGTATAACGCGCTCTGAAAGGGAGAGAACCAGGAGCAAAGAAAGTAAACTCAGACACCAGAGGCCCATGCAGAAACGCTGCTTTTTGCTCTAAGGATGGCCTGCTGGAGGGCAGTCAGCCTGGCCATACTGACAAAAACCTCCACGTTCTCCCCATCTAACAGGCAGTTCTGACAGCTGCAGCCAGCCTGAGATTTTTAAATCAAAGCTATCTGTCTCAACACCTGGAAGCCACATCAGAAAGCACCGCTGTTTTGTGTACAGCCATCTTCTCCTACCGGAGCCAAATACTGCACAAAAGCACCTTTTTCCTCCTGCTGAAACACCTCATCTCCCTGCACCTCGGCCGCACAGCGAGAGCCACGTTACAGCTCCGCCATTTCTGCAGCCTATGGAGAAGACTTTTGTTTCCCGCCACTCATTCCCTGAGAAAACATTTTTTCCTTACTTTCCCTTCTTGTCTTTAATTTATATGTATATAATTTATTCTTTTCTTTATCTTAAGTCTGAATCTAGAATCCTTCGCACTAAAGGAGGGCGACAGAAGGGCGGTTGTCTCGCTCCAGGCGGAGCAGCTCCGGCTCCACAACATGGCTCCTCCCGCCCCGCTCCACAAAATGGCGGCGGCTCGACCCACCGCCGCCTGGAAAGGCGCACGGCGTCCCGCAGGAGGCCGCGAACACCACTTTCTTTTGTGTTCGCTATTATTTTTCTCTCCCTGCTCTCAGGCCTAGAGGGGCGGTGCGGGCAGAACCTTCTGCACAGCCTCAGCCTGACCCGCGCAGCCGCTCCACCCCCGACTGCTGCGGGACGACGCCCCGCCGTGGGGCACAGCGGGCCGGGGCCGCGCGGTGTTGGGTTTCTCGGTGCAGCGGTTGCTCCTGCGATGGGGGAAGGGAGCAGCTCCCCCGCCCGCAGTCATCTGCTGCGAAGGGTTGGAGCTCTCGGAGCCAATTAGTCAGAGAGTTAACCGCTTCGCTGCGGGGAAACTCGAGCTTCAGGCACGGGCTCGGGGAGGTGAGGAGCTGAAAGCGCTGCAAGGACCAAACGGCCGCATCCAGAACTAAAGCGCGCCAGTTCTAATGAAGCTCTAAGCGTTTCCAGATCCGTGCCATCCTATGGGGAAGTGCTGCATTTCCTACGCGAACTCTCCAGGCAGAACAACACCTCTGCATGGGAGAGCAGTGATAGAACCCATCTCCCTCTAAACATATGTGTCTTCATAATCCCCTGTGCCCAGACACAGTCCTCCATGCACTCATCTTATTGTTTTTTTATCCCCTACTGCATTGGAACAAAGGAAACAAGGTTCAGTTCCCAGCCCTTTCCTCCAGCGCCATGCCTGGACACCTAAGGGCAACAGGCTCCCACTTGACTGGGCAGGTCAGCAGACCTATTTTTGTGCTCTCTGTATTCTATGACGTACAAGAGAATATTGGATCAGACTGTCAGGGAAGCCAGGAGTGTTTACATGGCAGCACGAAATGCACTAAGCTCCCCACCTGCTGCTGGGGAGAGGCCATCCTGGTGCTGCAAGGCTGCTTCCACTCCAGGCAGGAGCCACAGCATATGACACACCTATTCCTACAACACTAGTCTCTCCTACGGAGAAAACGAGGTCAAATATCCCTCCTTACCCAGGAAAAAGTTCAGAGTCTGCAGAAGGAGCTAACAGGGTTGGCACTGTGACATCTCATTTCTAAGCTCCAAGAGCAGCTCTGGCTACACTGAAGTGCAAATCTACATTCAAATAAACACCGTAGAGGGGAAGAAATGTACTGCAAAGCAAACAGCAGATTTAGTCTTGCAAGCTCTGAGCCTTGGCAGTACAAGAGCTCTCTTGTTCCTGTTGCCTCCCACAGCTGCATTCACTAAATATATCCTGCACAGAGAACTGCATTTCTCCACCCCTTCTGCAGCCCAATCACATTTGTACAAACAGCACCAGGCTCCCTTGGGATGTGCAGCCAGGCAGCAGCGTGCCCTAGTTACAGGCATCATGAAGAAAGGGGGAGACTAATAACAGCTCCAGCAGGATGAGACTGTTACGGCCACGGGTTATTTCAAGAGGAATGTGCGTGCAGCTGACTGATATTTAACCATTAAAAACACAGTGCTTTGCTCCCTGTAAAGATACACCTCACTCATTTGGCAAAATGAGTTACTCTAAATCATTCCCATAGGGCTGGCCCATGGAGAGTAATCCAATTTTAACTTCCAGCAAACCAGGGCTTTGTGGCATGTTGCTTCAAGGTGTAACAGAAGGTAAGCAAGCACAAAGCCACATGATGCATTGCAAGTCAACACCAAGCAAAAATCTACAAGCTAGAGGGATATCCAGTTTGGCACCTTTCAAAGGTACTTAGATGCAACAAATAAAAATACTTCCTCTAAGTTGATGAGCCCAGTGCTACCCTCTGCTGCACGGATCACAGGGAAACGTGTTGACCAAACGTAGATAACAGCAAATTGAGGTAGAAAAGCACATGCTGCTGTTGTCCTTCCCCATACAGTTGTGGACTGTTGCATCTCTGCCTCCACAGGAGAAGACAGTGGCTGAATTTTCTGTAGGATCAAGGTGCTTTCCCTATTACCCCCCTATTCTGTTCTCCATATTTTCTCTGCTCTCGTATCTCTTACTTGGAAAGATGCGTATTCTGGCACAATGGAGCCTCAGTCCCAGCCCCAAAAACACTGCTGTGAGCAACATAATTCCACAGCAGATCAAGTTCCAATAGGGGAAAAAAGAAAAAGGAGGAGTCTTAGTGATTTCCTTCACTCTCAAGCTGCTAGCCAGCAAGGATTTTGACCCTCTCTTGGTCCCTGCTTCTTTCTTTCCTGACAGTTTCCTATTTCTTCGACACCTCCAGCTCTTCTAGCAGCAGATTTGACAGAATCTGGTCAATTTTTCAAGCCATCTCATTTTAAGAAGTCAGTGGGAGCTGACTATGTCTTGCAATCAAACCTCACTGGAGGGAGAATTAGTAACTCGTGTATGACCTTAATCTGTAGGATTTTGTAGATAGCTTTTCTTGTGATCTCAATGCTCAGAGCTTATCATACATTCAGTCTCTATCTGCAGCCCTAGAATGTTTTGCAACAAAAGGAACCTAAATTCATTTTGATATAATTATGTGGTCACAGCAGTCCATGCTCACTACTGAATAAATATAGAGTACTTGGAAATAACTGGTAGAATTAAATCATAAATTGTAAAAAGCAAAACAGCAATAAATAGATAATGAAAATATCTATTACATAAATATGGTCAGGCTTAGATATCAAATACTCGTGAAGGAAAACAGTACGAGGAATATTTGAGCAATATTTTAGCATCATCTTTTTCCATTTTGCAAACATAATAGGAAGAACCTAAGCTCATGCTGAAGCATCCACATGAAAAGCCTTATTTTCAAAGGTAGCAATAGCTCCTGAGGTATCCAAACCCTTTGAAATCAGATGAACCATTCGCAAAATGGCCACAGGTCCCTAAGCTTAATTAAACAGTTGAAAGCTACAAAAGTTGGAAGACTGTGCTGTGTTCTGTTGTTTTCCCTGCCCGTTCTCTCCTCTGCTTTTCTCACCCTCCTTAAACAAATCAGCCTCAAAGACCATTCTAGTGTCATGTGGAAACTGAGACAGCTTTCATTAGTCACATTGCTGTGGAAGAACCCTGAGCAGTTCCTGCTGCAGTGGCTGTACAGAACACGAGCCCTGACCGCTGGGGACAGAAGTCAGGATACTGTGGCAGAACCACAGTATCAAGGCTGTGCTTCAGAGAAGAATGGGCAACGCCAGCTCGTTTTGCATGCTCTGACCTAGATAATTCTATGGGATCCTACGGACTTACGAGTGCATGCAAAAATGGGTATTCCCTCCTGCATGTTTCTACAAGATAGAGAAATGAAAAATATGAAAGCTGGTGTTACGACTGAGAGGCAAAGGAGACCCAGCAGCGTGTGCTGCCTTCAAAACTACTGCAGTTCTGAAAGCAAACAAAGTTTTAAGAAACCAAGATCTAAGGTCGCATTCCTCAGACAAAGCAGTGACTCACCCACATTCCTGACTGCTCCAACAAGAGGCGAGTCCTGCTCCTGGCGGACCAGATCCCCTGCACTGCACTGTGCCAAGCAATGTCCAGCACTGGCAGCACATTGGAGCTGATGCAGAAGGGGCCAAACCAGTGTTAGTAAGGGGCCCCCTTTGCTGCTGGGTTAGCTGGAAAATTCTTGAGCCCAGACCTCCTGCTTTTCATGCCTGAAAATACAGTGAAAAGGAAAACAGCCATTACTAATGATTACTTTTCAAAGGCCAAACTCATACCAAGATTGAGTAAGATTGCTCAGAGGCAGCAGCTGAAGTTTTTCACAATCCAGGGACAGATGAGACAAGTCAAAAAAAAATAACTGAGCAGAGGGAGCCAGGCAGCACACAGGTGGGTAAGCTGCTGTTTCTAACCTCAAAGTTACTCATGAGGGGAAGTGTGACCTTGGGATGTAGAAGCTCAGTCCTGAGCATCTGGGCACTTGGTCATTCTCAACATAGGAGGTAGACCTCACTGATGTAGGGAAAATCCTTAACAATACAGGCAGCTAACAGAAGCACACAGAAGCTGTGCTACCTGTGTGGAAAGATCCAGCCTCGCACAAATAAATGATCCCTGAGCCACCACGGTAATGCCTGTTGCACTCTCCTGGCATCAGCAGGCAGATAAAGCACGTAAAGGCAGTCCTCCCTGCTGCTACACAGCTTGTCAGCAGTGCTGCAAGTATTTCAGGCATTTCCCACAGCCCTCCACAGACTGCGGCAGGGACTCGCCCAGTGGCACCCCAGGGGCTGCCCAAGAAATCTGTTTAGCAAGCTGCAGAGCAGCTAATATCCATCTCGTTTATTAAATGAGAACAACAGAAGCAGGGGGATTTAAGATATGCTGGTATGATTTCTGTGATGTGACACGCTGCTTTGCAGAAGCAACTATTGCAGCGGCAAACAAGACCTCATTTTAATAAGGCAATTCCTTGCGCGAAGGCAGAGAAATCATCGCAGGCGATAACTCCCGATCTATTATTATCACAATTTGGGGAGGCTCTTGGTGTTTCCAACCCCAGGCTGCTTTGGAAGGGCAGTATTTGTCACCCACCCACAGCACGAGGACTGAATCCCAATTCCACCCAGGGAGGCGGGTGCCCAGGCAACGCAGCAGGATCGGTGCTTGCTGCGCTCCGGCCTCCGCAAACAATTCTTGCCACGTAGGCAGGAGAGAGCAGGGCAATGGAAAATTACTGCGGGCTTTTTCTTAAAGGGCGAGAATCCCCTTTAAGCGGGGAAGGTTGGTCTGCAGTGCGTCAGCGGCACGCTGGGGCGTTAATAAGGCAGGGAGCATTTGCATGGTATTTCAGCAGACTGCAGTGGTAGAAATGCAAAGCAGAGAGCTGAGCAGCAAAGAGGAGACATGGTAGATCTGCTTTCAGCACGGCCTCAGAGATGGCAACCCGTGCATGGTGCAGTTAACAGTAGCCATGAGCTGAAGTCACAATAACGCTCTGCCTCAGCTGCAGGAGTCTTTAAGAAAAAAACAATCTCACTTCCCCAGTCACAAAGCTTTTATCAGCTGCTTTGAAAAATCGTGGCCATCTTTACCTTCACTTTCAAGTGAAAAAGAGGCCAATTTCTTAAGGCAGCCCTGTGCCTGCCTACCTTAAAGCCAAACTAAAGAGCCATGCAAATAGCTGTAATAACACTACGACCCCATTTAAACTGCATGCTACTGCTGGGTGAAAATCAGACATTAGAGATTGCAGACTTACCAATGGGACAGGACTACACTCCTCTACCAAGCAGAACGCAGTGCTGCTACACAGCCAGTAGTCTTTCACATCTCAAAATGAGCTCCTGTATCCATAACGAGTTTCATTTTACCACCACAAGAAACAGCACACAGTATCTGCTTACTGGGGGCACCTATAGGGAACCAGGTGCAGGGAATTCCCACTTACCTACAGGTAAATGAGGCAAACCTGCTGCTCTTGCTTGCCTCTTGCTGCATGCAGCTGTTGCTCATGATAACCCAGAGTTGGTTCGAGGGTGCAGCTCTCAGTCATCTCTGCCAATTAAGGTTTTGCTTGCCAGACCTGCAGCAACTTGTCTTTTGGTATTCTTGTATTCTTAATTTGCATGTTTAGATTTTACTCTTCTGTTTTTCCTGGGTTTTTGCTGATTAAAATCTCAGCCCTAGTCTCTATGTTTTGTTACAACCAGCATATGAAAAATGAAGCCGCTGCACTGGGTTAGGGGACTTCTTGAAACAGAAGCTTCCCCCCCAATGGAAACCTTTATTGTGAAGCTGCTTTCATCGCCAACTCCGCAGGCAAAGTCATTGCATTTAATAGAGGTTGACCTCATTTTGTAGTTCTTGATATTAACGATTACAAGGAGGGAACATAATTAGAAGCAGTGACTTCTAAACAAGGATAAAGAGCACTTGTTGTTGCTGCCTCCTTCTCACCTCGGGATTCATTCAGTATGGCTACAAAGAGTAACTTGAAACAGCCTCTGGCAGACAAGCAAACTCAAGTCAAATGCAACGATCTCTGGTTTCCGAGAAACCTTTTACAGCTGTATAGAGAAATGAAATGAAACCCTCCAGCACTGCATAATGCTGCTACAGAGACCTCCTGGAAGAACCACAAATGTGCATTGTGGGTGAAAGCTCATCTTGGGCTCAGAAGAGATCTATGTGCAGGCATCCGAGGCTGGAGTAAGCTGCGGCCCCATGCTTCTCTTCCTGTGGAGCTGCTGGTGTTTTCTGCTGCACTGCTGAGGCCGTGCTCTGACAGACAGCAAAAGAATTTAAGTTCAGTAACCGTGCATGAGGGAGCTGAACGCAGATGTGTCATGGCTTTGCTGGCTTTTTTATAACTTTGCTAATGCAATCTGGGTTTCCATATAGCGGATACTGTTGTCATAAGGGGAAGACCAAATGCAGCCAGTGACTGGATAACCGCATTTCCTGCAGCCAGGGTGGGCGCAGAAATCCACCTGAATATTCATTTTGCATTCATTTTTCCAGTTCTTGTGAAACCCACAGTGCTCTGCCTTTTGGCTCCATCTTGCCCACAGAGACTCCTGAGCAACTCTCACGTTTCCTCTCACACAGCCCTGCTTGCTTGGAGGAACTCGCATTGTGTGAAAAGAGCAAATTCTTGTAAAAAGCCCCTGGCTCTCTTAAATTCCCCTTCAGTTGTTGCGGTTTGAGCAAGCATTTCTGCTTGAGCAAGCCTCAAGCTTCCTGATTTCTGCAGATTCCCCCCACTGCAAACAACCAGGTTCAGCTTTGCTCAAAGGTTTGGCCTGGGTTTCTTTCAAGATCAAGATAACATTGTTGCCCCCAGCTTAAGACACTGTGTGTTGTTCAGTACAAGGCTGTTTCTCGCAGTGCCAGCCCTTCCGCATCCAGGCACCAAGCAGAACTGTCACGGCCTGCACCTGCAGTGGGTTCACTGTGTGGTTTGTGGCCCAACGAGCATCTCAGCAGGAGGTGAGGGAAGGGCAGTGCCCTTGTGGAGCACAGCTCCCAGGGACTAACATAGGGACAGAAGGACACAGCACAGATTGGCTGCGTTTGGTCTTTGCACTCTGATCAACCCCACCCTTGGCCACACAGGGCCATTCTAGCTCACAGCTAGGTTTTTCCTCTCCCTTTCATACACCTGCGATATCAGATATTCATAAATCAGGCCAGCAGTTCCCAGCACGCCTTGAGCCATTAACCCCATCTTGTGGTAGTGATTCTAGAGAAGCCCTAGGCAGTGTCCTGGGACTGTAGCACAGCTAGCAGCAATGCTGCACCCACTCAGTGCAAGCAGCTTGCTCTCCTCAGGCTTATTTTTAGAGCTGTTTCCCAAGAGCCCTGGGTAAGCTGCCAAGGCCAGCTCCATGTGTATCTTTAGCAGCAGCACTGTGGGGGTGAAGCCATGTCAGCACCTCTACTTTATCCCCACCACTGTAAATAGGATGTAAAAAATCAGTCCTGGCAGAAATACAAAAGTAATTGTGGAAAATAATCTTAACTGAACCTGATCCATGCTCAAATTCGTCTGGCTTGGGAGAGAAAATGGGGATTTAAAACATGTTTTGCCCTTCTCAGGCCTAAATCTTGAATTTTAAAATCCAGCTGCACTGCACTCAAATTACTTGCAGGGAATTTTTGTAGTTGCTTTTTTAAGAGCGTATCCGTGGTAAATGGAAAAGTGAGCCGTTCCCTCCTCCACCTCTTCCACAAGCCAAGCGCATGATTAAAAGTTGTCGCTGTCAATCTTACTAATGAGAGCCATAGTTAATAGTCATTTTAATTGGGTACAGACCCACGAGAGAGAGCTGGCAGCAGTGCTTGTGTGGCCTTGCAGGCTGCTGGGCTGAGGAGCAGTTTTGGGTGACAGTGAAACAGAGGGTTTTCGGCCAGGCCAGGTGCCGACCCCCAGTATGTCAGGAGATGTTTGTCAAGCTGCAGCTTCATGCCCTTCATAACAAACTGCTGAACCTTCCCTTGGTGCCTCTGCTTCTGCTGCAGCTTTGTACCTCTCTGCTGAGCTTGCAAAAACAGCAGTGGGGGAGAAAGAGCATGGCCACCACAGCTTGCTCTGCGTTTCCTTCATGCTGGGATAAGGTTTGACCACGTAGGGGGGCAGGAAGATGTAGAGGAAACATAGGAAGAGGAACTTCAGGAGAGACACTGCCAGCTCTTTCACTCACCCAACTGCATTTCTGGTTTCTGTATTTATACATTTTCTGTATTTCTGCGTTAGCCCAGAAAAGGCCAAATGCAGAAACGGCTACAGCCTGCAGCCAACAGGAGCCCGTTTGATGTGCTGGTAGCTGCAGCTGCAGACCTGGGAAGGGTGTTTGGGAGATACAGAAAGTGGACATTTTGTGAAATCACATGAGACAGTAACCGGCTCAGCTTGGCTCAGTCCTGCTGTCTTACTTCCCCATGGAAACGCTGTGCTGCACCATCTGCCACTGCCTCCCTGCAACACTTTGAGCTCCGACCTCAGCCCCGTCTGAAAGGTGCATGAACCCACCAGAAGTCTCCGCCTTTCTCTCCCAAATCCCATGCTCTTGAGCCGGGGGTAAGGAGGCTGTAAATGCACCCATCTGTCATCCCGCTGCCCCCCCCAGCCCACACGTGTGCTTTAGCTGACAATTACTGCACAGTTAATCACAACACGTCCTGCCCGCCTAGTGTGGGTGGGCAGGCAGCTGGGATGCTTGTGGTGGAATCCAGTTATAAAGGACGCAGATTTGCAGGAAACTGGGATTTATTTTCTGCTCATGGAGAAACAGGTTCCAGTTGTCTGTTCTGGGAAAATATGCTAAAATATGCATGTTGCTCTCCAAAACACACATAATGCCCACCTAGCAGCCCTGAGAGCGCTTGGGAGATCCCACATCAGCACCCCAGCCTTAGCCCCATGTCCTGTTGGCACAGCTGTGCTGTAAATGCCTGCGGTGGTGGTGTCAGGGCTGCCCCTCTGCTTGGCACAGCCCTACCACACTGACACATTACACTGAATAAATGCAAAACCTTTAAGGGAGAAATGAATGTGAATGCCAAGGGTAGGCTAGAGACTAAAGCAGTGCTATGAGGAAAGGGTTTCTGGGGACCCTGACTTTAACCATGTCTCTTTGCCATCCCACACTGTATGTGAAGACAGATTTTTCACACCCACATCTGCAAACTGGGACTGAAGGGTTTGTACTGACCTCTCCTGAGATGGGGCTGCCAGAAACTGGAAAATATGCAGCTGGTCCCATTTCCTTCTCCACAGTGAGTGTGGGGCTGCTCTGTTTCATTCCAGCCCAGGGAGGTGCACTCAGGTGGGTCCACATCTCCATCCTGTTGTCAGCATGAAATGCTGAAGTCCTCTGAATCTTCCTGAAACTGTGAAATACACAGAGATAAAATTGGCCCTGAAATGCCATTCATCTGCTAGGAATTTTGTAGTCAAAGCTCCATCTTGGCTTTTTTTTATGACAGAATGTCTTGTTTAAACACAGAAGCGTTCTATCATCAATGAGCAAAACTATTTCAGCAGGCAGTCATACTATGACTCTGAAGGCTGTTGCAAGTATGAATTGTTTCGGTGATGTGTTAAAACAGTCATTGGGATCACACAATTTGTTAATGTCTGCAAGTATCTCAGAGAAGAAACAAATAATGAAAATGAAAAATGTTCTGGATGCTTCACCAGATGGATACCAGCAGACTTTAAATTCCTCCTGTTCTGAGACAAAGATCAGAATTGCAAAAAGGAAGTCCTGCTTGTCTGGCTGTGCTTTTTGCCTAACACCTATCACAACTTGTGCAAATCCTGTTACACACCTTTGTATACAGAGATTGAGGTCACAGCTGTAATCCAACCAAAACCAGCACAGTGTGTAAAAAGGAAGCACATCTTTGCCACACACTTTGTCCACTGCAGTAAACTGGAAAGTAATTCCGCCTTATGAGCTAAGACAAAAAAGGAATTGGGAATTCAAGTGCAAGGGCTGCTAATCTGCCCTACTCGCTCAGCGCGTTAACAGCCAGGAGAATTAAACTACATCTGATATTCAAACGGACAGAGTGAAATGAAGCACAAAATTAGCGAGCGAATAGAACTCGGCTCCTCCAGCTCCGCTCACCGATCTCGGTGCCTGCCATCCCGCACCGGGAGCCGCTCCGGCCCCGCTGGAAACGAGCTGCTGCCACCTGCCGGCTGCACAGCCCTGGGCCTCTGCCCTGCTGCAAAACCCGGAATAGCTGGGGGGAAAAAAATAATTAAATTAACAAACAGAAACTAGGAATGCAGTAAAAACCCGCCGAGAAATAAATTATGCCTTTAGCTTCTGGATTGGTTCGCATCGCTGGGGCTTTTGGATGAGTGTGTGTGTGTTTGGATGTATGGCGTTTTGTCGTTGGACAAAAGGGTATGATGTAAACTGAAAAGTAAGCAGCAGTACTGCTGCAAGTGAGAAACAAAGGTGTTCCAGAACAGCCCAAACAAGTTATGGTGCACAGTGCTGAACAGCTGAACAAGGGAACT